TTGGGACATCGAATTAGGGATTTTAAGTATAAGTACGTATTAATTCGATCAATTCAATACAATCTATGAATGATTTTAATTAATCGGACTAATACAATCTAGATCAAATTAGGACAGATTCAAATCAGATATCAGACTTAAATAATTGTAATATGCAGATTAAATAAAAACTTACTATGATAGCTAGACTAGTGTTTATTACCAAATAAGACTTGAATAGAATAGATCAAATTAGACTAGAATAAACAAAAAGAATTCCGTCCATGTAATAACATGTACTACGTATTACTACGTAAATAACTTCAAAATGCACAAAACCAATTCAAAATGTGAGAGGGACAATAAACATGCCCTAAATATATATATGATTAAAAAGTTTGAATATGATTAAAAGGTTGGCCTTTTTATTCCGATATTACTAAAATGAATGAAAAAGTCCAAAAAGTTGTGAAATAATGGGAAAGGTCTATAACCATGAAAAGTCAACATGTATGACATTAAAAGTCTAAAACAATCCACACTTGCATTCAAATGAGTGACGTACGTTGCAGTTAATATGTATTTGTTTTCTTAGAGATACATTTCATGAAAGATTTTGCCTTTTGCTTTACTATTTATCCTAAAATCGGTTTTAATGAGTATTTATTTTTTAAGAAAAAAGGGGAACATTAAGAGCCCGTTTGGTAGCACGAAAATCGGCTGTTTTGGCCGATTCTGCTGAAATTTATGAAGTTCTGGCTGAAGTGGCTGTTTTGGCTGTTTCTGCTGATTTAAGTAAAAATTATTTTTAAAATATATTTTAATAATAAAGTAAAGAAAAAATTACATGTAAAAATAGCTAAAATGGTCATCTACGGTAATTTCAGCCAATACAGCCAGAAAAGTAACTTCAACCTTACTTTTTCTGCTTATTACACAACTCAGCGCGCGAAAGTAAAAGTTACGTGTTTGGTGAAAAAGCTGGTTGATAAGTCTGATAAACCGATAAATGACGTTATCAAACGGCCTCTAAATGTATTATAACTAGTAGTACTAATTTTTTTGGTCCGAAGTGATGCGCTTGCCCCTCCATGCCCGCTTCTCTACTGGCTGCAATATATGATTTGTGGCTTCGAGCAGGGGTGGCAAAGGTAGAGAGTGATGAGGAGAAATCAATTGTGCAGCTAGTCTTCTAGACTCGTTTGGGTTTTCTCCGAATGTCTATTTCTTTAAGTGCTCCGTTACGTTTTTCTTTGTCTTTTTTTTTGTTTATGGATTTTGGATATTTATTTGTTGGATTTTATTTGCCAGGGATGACTGTTGTTTGATTTTTATTTTCGTTACAATTGCACAAATATATAATATTAATCCTGAGTAGGTGATTGACTGAGAGTTGAGTTTAATCATATTAATCATGATCAAGTTTTGTTTCATGGTTTTACTGGCTTGTCTCTAATAGAAGATATATCGGGACATATTTATAATTCTCTTGTTTTATCTGTTTAGTATAATACACCATCAAGGCACCACATTGGGACAAGCCATTATTCCATAATATTGCATATGGTATCAGAGCCTGGTCTGATGTTACGTGTTTGGATTCTTATATTTTAATATAAGCTGATTTATTACCTCGAAAAAAGTAATTGCAATTACTCCGTATTAAATACTTTCGTTAAAGTAAAATGATTTTGGTAGAGCATTTGTAGTGAAACTAAACTTTTTGTTCACTTTATTATGTACTCCGTATTACTTTATTATGTATTATTATTAATTATGTAATATATGACACAATTCTATTTCGTCAAGCATGATGAATATAGTATTTTAGCTTTATTTCATGTATATATACTATCTTTTGTTTCTTTGAGTTGAAATATGGAAAAATTTGACTACATCTTATTTATTAATATTTGAGAATTATTATTTTTTAAATATTGTTGAAGTTGCCTCATTACAAATTTGCATAATTTGATATTTAAATTTTTACTAATAGAGAAATACATATAATGAATGTCAAAGTCATTAACAAATTAAACGTGAAAACAAAAATGTTGCACATTCATATAATCAGCAAGTTTAAGACAAACAAAAAGTATATATAAACAATGTTCAAATTATAAACATATGCGGCTTCATTAATCATTCAATTGGACACAAAATATATTGTTGAGCATCTTTGTTTCCTTGACCATGTACCATCTCATTCATCTGTTGAAAATCATCTAGGGATTTCATCATATCTTTTGAACATTTTGGTGATAACTCTTTAGCTAATAAAAGTTAATGGCGAGAACAGATGATACTCATTATTGCTATTATTATTCTTATATTATTTTCTGTATTTACTATTTCCTATTTTAAAACTATATACTCCGTATAAAATAGTCAAAATGACAAAGACGGTAAATTATTGTACGGCACTTTTCTTAATATTAAAATAAATATCCTACATACATAAAAAAGAAATTTAAGAAAGTTTTATTCATTTGACTTTAAACCTTTTAATATAGGAATATTTTGCTGCATATACAACTTTTAAATATGTATGTGCAGTGAAGTCTATGTCATACATTGTATAAATTAAACAAATAGAATAACTAACTTATTTGAATGAATAAAAAACACATGATTGCATAGGACCTAAATTCACATCACCTCACATTTTTAGCTACAAAAGTGCTATGCACTTAAAAAAACACTACAAAAGTGTTATTAATTTGTCCCCTTTAATAAAAGATTTTCCCTCTTTGTCCGTTTAAGCTTATTTCTAATTTAGGAAGTAATTAGCACTCTTAATTGATATAAACTATTCATCAAATTTCAAAAATAATAGACCTATTTGTTAATTAATTCTATTCGTGTAGTTTGGCTATATATGTTTTAGTTTTATTTAAAGCAATTTATTTATTTTGTATTAGTTTGAAGGGATAATTATGGGGGTGTTAATTTGTTATGTCTAGATGCAAGAAGATCAATATGGCAGTTTGATTTAGGATTGCTCGTTTGGAGCAGTAGACTGTTATGTCTAGATGCAAGAAGATCAATATGGCAGTTTGATTTAGGATTACTTTTGAGGAGTTGCTTGCAATTTTAAGGTTAATCATTGGAGTATTGTTTTTTCTTTTACATGGAAAAGCTAATTAGCCAAAATGAGATACTAACTTGAAAAAAGAGAATTACTGAAAATCACATTTGACCTTATTTCAGTTTGTTAAAATAGTTCTTTTACGATGGACATTTTTTTTTTATCATTTTTCACCTTATGACATCTAAAAGCCAAATTATAAAATGTTTCCAACAAATATTAGAAATAGCAGTTTGACATTTTCAAATATCCAAATATATAATCTAAAAAGTAATAAACGATAGATTAAGTATATGCGAAACAATTGAGAGCTCTTCCCTCCGCGCATCTCAATTCCCACAGAATTCTGCCTTCGGTCTTCTTGTTTAGAATGAATTTGGTCATAGTGCGGTCGTTTCTCTTTTCGGCCAACTTTTTCACTGTGTTCGGCAATTTTAATCTACCCTATGCGGTAGTGCTGGAGTAGACGAGTAGTAATTTAATTTATAAGAAGTACGGAGTAATATATATTGTAGGGATAAGGGTCAGATAGGGCCTCGAACTCGAAAAAAAATGTCAAATAAGGTCATATTTCGGATGTTCTGTCTGGCCGACGCCATTTGGGGCGGTTCCCGATGGAATTTTTTGATAAAATTTTTTGAGCATCTTCCTCATTAAGTCTAGTTTACTCATACCAAATTTCAGCTAAAAACTCAACCGGGAAGGTAGTCAAATGAGTTTTTGAAGATAACTGTGAAGTTAAACAACGCCGTACATTTCGGAAACTTATTTGACTACCTTCCCGGTTGAATTTTTAGCTGAAATTTGGTATGGGTAAACTAGACTTAATGAGGAAGATGCTCAAAAAATTTCATCAAAAAATTCCATCGGGAACCGCCCCAAATGGCGTCGGCCAGACAGAGCATCCGAAATATGACCTTATTTGACATTTTTTTTCGAGTTCGAGGCCCTATCTGACCCTTATCCCTATATTGTATGAATATGTGTGTGTATTCCTATATAATTTGAATATTGTAGTATTTGTGTTCCTATTTGAAATGTATTTTAATGATTTGTATCCGTATTCGCATTTTACTTACTAGAATTTGAATTCACATTTGCAATTATGAATCACAAATCGAATCAAAATTATTCTATTCGTCTACAACCCTAGAAAAGGGTAAATTAACACATCTTAACTATGCTACAAAAGTAAGCTTCAATTTCATTATAATTTGACAAAATATAAGAGATATATTGATTTAGCCCCTTAATGTTTGTTTATGTTGATATGTTGTTAGTCTTGTAACTTTACTTAATTAGGGATGACTTATAACAAATAATTAACTTTGTATACTATCAATAAATGAATGCTTTTTTCACGAGATAGTACACTTTTTTAGCCAAGCAATAGATGACTCGTCCGCAAGTGAGGCTCTATTTGCAATCACTTAAAATAAGTGATTCTGACTTTTTTAATGAAAAAATCACTTATTTTATCAAACACTATCAATTTTTACTTTATCAGTTTTCGTGTAGAATCTACTTTTTACTTTTTCTATTACACAAAAAGCACTTATTTTTTCAAACACTACAAACTTTTACTACTAATCACTTTTTCCCAAAAAGTACTTTTATTTAAGCACAATCACCTACAAACAGAGCGTGAGTCTAGTCAGATGACTAACAATAGACCTAAACATAAGTTGGAGACAAATCTACAATATATTTTATGTATTAATAAGGTATAATTAAAAAGTCAAAAGGAAAAACATTGAACTTATTTTGGACAGATGGAAGTACTTTCTCTTTTATTTTAAACCTTCAATTCTAAATTAAAGCTAAAGAAATGTCACACTGCCACCATATAGAAGGATGGATTACTATAAATATATAGTCATATATCTCGATCTGATCTCCATTCTAACTTATTAGACTCAATTAGGTAGCGAGAAGAAAGAGCAGTCTCGAGTTTTCTTTTCATTTTCTTCTAATTAATATTATATGTTAAAACCAATAGCATAGCGCTGCCCTAATTAGAAATGGCCCAAATTGGTGTCTGTTGTGTGGGTGTGTATCTTTGCTTAGGTGTTATAGCAGCGGTTCTTGGATTAGTCGCAGCATATCAAGTGAAATCGCAAGTGAAATTGGAAAGGGTAAATACTTGTCTGATTTATTATACATGTGTATGTATTATAGACGAATATAATGATCATGTCCAGCCGGAGGGACGAGAGCCTCCGTCCAAACTCAGTCATTTGGCGCAGTTCCCGGTGAAATTATTTGATGAAATTTTTTTAGCATGTTCCTCATCAAGTCTAGTTTATCAAAAAAAATATTTTCAAAATTAGATCGGGAAGGCAGTCAAATAATTTGTTGTAGTTGACTGTGCAAAATTATACATAGAAAACACAGTCAATTTCAAAAATTATTTGACTGCCTTCCCGATCGAATTTTGAGCTGAAATGTTTTATGGATAAACTAGACTTGATGAGGAACATGCTAAAAACATATCATAAAAAAATTCCACGGGAAAAGCGTTGTTCAGACGGCGGTTCGGACACGAGCTACTGGACAGGATCATTTGTGTATATATATAGTAGTCCTCATGTCAGGCTGGTCTGACAGGAACGCCCTCTGGCCGAGCCCAATTGGGGTCTTATAGGTGGAATTTTTGATGAAATGTTTTGAGCATGTTATTCATCAGGTCTAGTTTATCCATATCAAATTTCAGCTAAAAATTCAATCGGAAAGACAATCAAATGATTTTCTAAAAAATACTGAGCTGTTTATATATATTAATTGCGCAATGTTCTTAAATAATAATTTATTTGACTACCTTCCCGATTTAAATTTTAGCTAAAACTTGATATGAGTAAACTAGATTTGATGAGGAACATGCGCATAAAATTCCATCGGGAAGGTCCTCATATGTGCTCGGCCGGACGGCTTTCCCGGTCAAACCGACCTGACATAAAGTTTCCTCAAATATGAACCCATTTATAATAATTGATGTGGTTTTGGAATAAGTAGATGACAATGACGACGAAGACAGGTAGGTGCTTTTCTCTAGTTGTGGCTATTGAAGTGGTGCTTGCAATAGTGGCTCTTGTGGGCGATCAAATGGTGGCTACAGCCATTTTTATTGCTGACGGACCAAATGGTGATCACAATGCTCGACCAAACCGTATCAAACTAATACTCAAAATCTTAATTGGCTGGAACTTGTATGTCTCTTTTCCTTTCTTTTCTTAGCTTCTGTTTTGCTGCTATGGGATCGAATATTTCTCTGAAATGTGTTGTTAGTTTATGAACACAGGATTTTTGGGGCAACAAGTTGGGAATGATGGAAAGACAATTAAGTCACATATGATTATTTGACTTTTTTTACTAGTATAATAGTACGAGCTAGCTAGACATAGAGCTCGTTTGGTGATCCTGTTTTTCAAATTATTAACAAATTTTTCATCAAACATGTAACTTTTGATTTCTGACAGGAGTATTTTAGCTTTTTTTGTACAATTTTTTCTTTATTTTATTAATAAAAAATATTTTATATACTTCGTATATTTTTTCATAAAGCTGCAAAATAAGTCAATCCAGCCACTTCAGCCAGAACTTCATAAATTTTAGTAGCATCAACCGATTCAGCCGATTTTGGTGTTACCAAACGGCTCATAGTTACCTTATGTGTTTTAATAATTTCATTGAACATATATCATATAAATCTATAATTATAAACCATGTAATGTAAAACAATACTAGCTAGATACAAGATTTATCGCAATGAACATGCTGTAAATATAATATAAAACTTTATAAAGGTTAATATTAACCAACGCATAATTTCAATTCATACGGAGGATACAAATTGTTTTGGGAGTTGACAGAAGTAAAAGTGAAGTCGTTGCAACAAAAGTACATTTACAAAAATCACTTTATCATTTCTTATGAAATTCAAGAAATTATGACTAAATTTGCTCAAATAAAAATACTTAAACATATTTATATTTTTATTAATATAATTAAGGAAAAATATGCCAAAAAACTAAAATAATCATTACGCAACCTTTCATTTAGAATAATCTTCAACAAATTAAATTAACCAATTCATTTAGAAAAAATTACTTTAACCTTTCTTATTTAAATTATTACGCAACCGAACGCGCAAAATGAAAACTTAAAGATTTAATAAAAATGTTGATTAACTAATAAGAAGAAAATAGAAATCGTGAAACGGGCTCATAATTTGTTTAAGATAAATCCTTAGATAAAAAACCAAGGTTAACACTTGATTTTATAAAATATATAGGTCAAATCAATTTTTAAGTTCAATAAAGGGGTGATATATATATTTATAAATAAGGATAACTTTTATGAAAATCCTGGATTAAATCCAAAAGTAAACAGGAAAAATTTAACTTTAACATTGATTATTGACCAAATGTTCTTGAGTTTGTAAAATGATTTTGGACGGAGGTAGTAATAATAACAACAACAATAAGCATATTATTACTATTTAGTAGATATAATACAATAATGTTAATGATGATAATATTCAAGAACAAAGTGACTGAAATAAATTTTATAGTCATATAATTAAGCAATACTCCGCATAATAGATGCAAACTCAAAACTAAAAAAAGATGAATGTGAGCCAGCGGATACGTAGTATCCTACTTCCAAGTTCCTTCTCATCCAATGTGAGTAAACAATACGGAGTAATTCCTTCTCATGACTTTGTGTATATTAAAGTCACTCGTCATCCAATGTACTACCTCCGTCCAATTATATTTGGGACAATTCGATTTACGATATTTGGTCGAATCTAAGAAAACAGATTCATCTCCACGCTCAAATTTTTAAGGAAAAAAATTACATAATAAAAAACTATAATAAAAACTTTACAAAATCACAAAAATCGGAATCAAATTTGATAAAAAATTGATATATAAAGTAAGAAATTAAAAGTGATTTGTGTTGTGTTAAACCATTTGTCCCACACTGGAAATCTATAAAACAATTAAACACTATATAAGGCTTTGAACTACTCCTCATATAAGGTTGATTTTTAGGATGATACTCCGAATGTTAACATGCTGAACAGTGTTTGGGACAATCTTAACAAAATGGAGGGAGTAGGAATTAAATTACCTTCTCGGGACTTAAGGATGTGGAACGGTGGAATGGAACAATTCAGCCATTCTTCCTAGCGCGCCATTCATTATTTTTTCAGATTTTTTTAAGACTCATCACGCCTTAAGCGTTTGAATATGACCAAATTCGAGTTGAGTAATTTTGGAATTAATTCTTTGATTAATTATTTGACTCCCATATGTTGTATCTGCAGGGTCACGAGTGCAGGAGGAGGATTTTTACTGGTTCTTGAATTTATTCACATGCTAAAAGGACAAAAATGCTGGACTTCTGTGCACTTCAAGATATTACTCGCAGCAGGAATCGTTTGCTTTGCTCGATTTTTCGGTGTCTTGTTTTACTATGTGATTGCCATATTGAATCAAGACTCCTCTAACGTTTCCAATCGTGCGCCTTCAATGTTTAGTTTGTCAAGGAGGTAGATTTTTATACTGATATCATTCTTAAATTTGGAGTGGGTCCAAATCTATATTACCCATCTTAGATCAAACAATGATGGTATTCTCCATGTCACTGCTGCTCCAAAACCAGGGATTTTCTATATATTCAACTTCAATTCCATTGGCCGATGGATAGTGTGTGTCTCAAAGTGTGTCTTGAGTTAATTGCACTTTTCGTTCTACGAATTTTATGACAATGTAATGTTTGATTCTATACGAAAATAGAATTTTGGGAAATAATGGCTTACCCTCTTGGGTGCCTTAGCCTTGTATTTATAATAAAACAGAGTTATGGAAAATTACAAAGTAATCCCTAAATATTACATTATTACACCCCCTCAATTTGTGCAGGGGAAATCACGTGCAAATTGGAACGTAAAAATTCAAAACGCTGACTAGATAAATTTTTGGTGAAGATATCAGCTAACTGCAACTGTGTTGGAATATGCTTCACCACAAGGTCTCCATGTGCTACTCGCTCACGAACAAAGTGGTAATCAATTTTAATGTGCTTACTTCGATCATGCTGAATGGGATTAACTGCCAGATAAGAAGCTGATACATTATCACAAAGAAGTTGTACTGGAGCCGAAATAAAAATACCCATATCTGCCAGAAGAGATCGGATGAAAAGTGTGTCCTGAACAGTGTATGCAATGGCCCTGTATTCGGCCTCAGTAGAAGATTTGGACACCGTTGGTTGTTTCTTGGAGCGCCAGGAGATTAAATTGGAACCCAGAAAAACCGCATAACCTGTAGTCGAGCGCGAACTGTCGGGGCAGCCTGCTCTTTTTAAGTGCGAGAAAACTCACATCAGTTTTTGGCGCCGTTGCCGGAGACGGTGTCGGTTTTAAGGGTTAATTAATTTCAGCGAGGTTTTTTTTTTTTGTAGTTAGTTTTCTTTTTGTTCTTCGTTGGATTTTTTCTGTGCTAACCTTTTAGGTATTTTTCTAAGAGGCGTGAGATGAACCCATTCAGCCAAATTCCTGGAGGAATTCCTTACCCTCAAACCTCCATGGAATATTCACCATATACGCCATACCCTCCTTACACTCCTCAAAATTATTCTCCTACACCACAAAATTTCCCATCTTCTTATTCTTATCCTCTTCCAAATACGCAATACTCCCAATCTCATTCTCCTAATCATTATCCTTATCCACAATATCCTCAGACAAAACCAGGCTCCATAATGGAATTTCTCATTCAAACTAAAAGTCCCGAGGAATTGGTTGATTGCTTTCCTAAAAATAGCATTTGTAACTTCTGTGGAGGTGGTCACCATTCATGTCTTTGCCCCATTCCTCCATACGACCATCCTTACTGGGCAACTACATACCCCACTTCTTCCTCTCCACAATTTACGGGCACAAATTTTTCAGCCACTCCTACATACTTCCCGAGTAATGAGCCTCATAATCAACAAGAGGGTCTAGAGGAGGCAGATTTAAAGAGGCTTTCTGACTTGGAAGAGACGGTCATACAATTCACGCGGACATCTTCAGCCAGAATGGATAATTTGAGTAATCAATTGGATCAGCTAATAAACACCCTGTCTGAGGAGTCCAAGAGATACCATCATAGCGACACAAAAGCCCAACCAGAGGAGACTAATAGGGATGATCATGTGACTGAGTCAAACTGCGAAGGTGGGAATATGATGGATGATACACTTCCGGATATTTTTGAAGACCCACTTATGTTTGCACTTGAACAATAAGATAGTAGTGATGTCCATACAGAAACTCATCAGCCGTCTGATTTACCATTAGTCTCAACACCTGATGAGGAGGGCAAGGAGCAGGTCAGTCATGACGTTGATGCAGCCACTGAGGTAGGTTTGGGTATTGAAGATGAGTTGGGAATAGATGATTACAAGCTCCAAGAGAGTGGGGGTGAGGTAGATGATGTCCATAATGAAGAAGTCCTGCTCCACAAACAAGAATTCCCCTCTTGTACACATGCACCGATCCACTCTTACGTGGTTTCAGATTTGGATTTCTTTGATTCACTACTTGATGATGTTCCTTTTTGTACGGAGAGTGACAACATCATCCAAGAAGACCCTGATGAGAACGATTTTAACGAGAGTTGGGATGCCTTCATGGGGAGTGATACAGAGTCCGGAGGAGAGGTTATGAATGTAGATGATATTTGTGAGGAAGAAGAAGACTTTTCTATGTTGCAATTTGATTACGGTGTTGCTCCTACTCCTTGCTTGGAGACATGTTTTGAGAATCCGGTGATGCCTAGAGTAATCAAAGTTTTCACTCATGTTCCCTATCCACCTGAAGAGGATGAGAGTTTCATACTTCACTTCTGCGCTAATAAGGGTTATGAAGACCATATGCTGCCTACATGGACTGAAGAATTTAAAGATCCACGACACCTAATGGCATTTGTTGAAAGGAAGCTGGAGACATTGATTATTAGTGCACCACTGCAGTCTTTGCTATTTGAGAGCGTGTGAGGAAGTTGCGTCGGGCAAACGACATTAAAAATAGCGCTTCTTGGGAGGCAACCCAAGCTTATTTCTGCATTTTTTTTTTGTTTATTTTTTTGTTTGCTTTCAGAAAACCCCCGAAAAAAAAAACCAAAAAAAAAATCCGGGGTGTTTTTTTGGTTTGTTTTTGTGTTTGTGTGTTTTGTTTTTGCAGCTCAGGGTCTTGCTTTGGGGATAATGTGCCAAGGATTACATTGACTCAGTTTAGTTTCGCACCGACCAACGCCTTAGGGAAGTTTCTTTGACTATTTTATTCGCTGTGTAATGTTGACTTGAGTTAATTTTGAGCACGCGTGACCCTTTCCTCTTTACCCCTAGACCCTAGTACATAATGCATATTTGGTCATCGAGGACGATGCCAAAGTTTAAGTGTGGGGGAGTGAATTGGGCATTCAGGCAGTGGTTGTTACATGAGATTTATTAGAGTTAGCATGCACAGGTGTTAGTTGTATATTCATAGGAAATTCATGTCAAAATTTTTGAAATTTTTTCTTTAAACTGTGTCTTTGTGAACTGGCTAGCGTTTTGACTATGCTTTTAGGACATCCTTGAAGTGTTTAGGCTTAAATTGCTTGCATGGTAATCTAGTTGCTGAAAGGATAAAGGCATTAGTCACCCATTGAATTCTCCATCAATCATCCACCCCACCTGAAAAGTCCTTTAGGAGAAGCCATTTTGAGCCTGACTGTTCTTTGTTTACCCAATTAATTGAGTTCCATAGCCAAATGGCCTGTTTCCTTACTCGTGAATATTTCTGACTTAGTCTTGGTGTTTAGGGAACTAGGGGATTAATTTGCTAAGTTTAGGGAATTTGTGTAGGAGCCATTTTTGGCACTGTTCCTATGCCCCAAATAGGGTAAGAGCAGTCACTTTTTAGGGATTTGATACTTTCGAGGATTGCATTGTAGGCATGGATTCACTTTAAATAAATGGACTTTAAATTGTTATTTTTCCTTGGTGAGACCGAGATTAGAATGGGGTAATGTCTAGTGAAAATTCAAAAGGTGAAAAATTAATATAGCTAGACCTCTTACTTTGCGAAAAAGAGAATGGGAGCCCCGGTCAAAAAGCATAAGATGAGACTTGGGTATCTTTCGAAAGAAACGGCGTTCTCGTGCCAACATGACAAGGAAAACTAAACTTAATTAAATGAACTTGGAGGCTATTGAAAATTAGCTTTAGTCCTCCGCGTACTTCAAGTATACGTCAAAGCACAAATTTTCCGGGACAGTTTAGCTTAGCTGTACACCATGTCTACTCTTTGCATAGGTTTAAATGATTGTTCCTAATTTGTGGCCTACTGAGTTCCTTGTTCCTAAGAATAGCCCTGAAGTTCCTGAATGCATTGAGTCTTTGTTAGAATATTCCTATCTCTCCAAAGAAAGGGACTATTATTATTATCCATCCACCATCACCTTCACAAGTCCTTCTGATCAGTAGCTAGTTTATTTGTGTAGGCTGTCATTACTTTGAGGATGTTGTGAATAATGCTGTCAAATATTTTAGCTAGAGTACAAAGATGTAGTTTAGGGAAGAATTTTCTTGGTTTAGATTGTCTATTCTGTGAATATCCCTTTAACTACGTGTGCATGCTAATTATTTTAATTCTGTGCGGTGATTATCGTAAGTCTCGTTGTTCAGTTTGCTTGAGGACAAGCAAAGGCTTAAGTGTGAGGGAATTTGATAAGTCCGTATTTTGACACGTATTTGATGCGTGTTGGGATCGGTTTTGATGGTTTTCCCTAGCTTTAAGGTGTTGCAAGTCTCAATTTTAGCTCAAGTTATGTTTATCGGGCATTGGTTCGAGTTTTGTGTTGTTTGTAGTCAAAATCAGGGAATTTGAGCCCGGTACCCGGCACTTGAGGATCAATCGGGATGATTTGAGAAGCATTTGAGAATGATTTGATAGCTTTGGAGGTCACCGGAAGATTCATGATGAAGATTTGAAGGAAAAAAGAGCTCTAGGATTGGCTTCGGGATCAAAAGAAGATGAATGAAGCTTGAAAACGATGATCAGAATGACCTTCTGTCAATCATTCAAGCTTATCTCTTTGTAGGAACAATCAATGGACACGATTCAAGTTGCATAGGAAAGCCAACTTCAAGGGCTACAAATCATATGAAGACACCTTTGCGAGAATCTGAGAGGAAGAAGGTGAAAACAGACGATGAAGTCAGATGATCTCTGTTGCGATTTCAGAAAGACACCTTCCACCGTTTTGATCATATCTCTTGATTGGATGATTCAAATCACATTCGGCAAATTGGGTTGGATATAGGACTTCATTATCTACAACTTTTATGAAGGAAGTTTTGTCAAATTCGGAAGTTTTACGCACGCCGTGCGTAGGGGAACGCACGACCGTGCGTCTGAGGCAAGAAAGCAAGGGAGACACTGCCAGCAACGCACGGCCGTGCGTGGGGGGGTACGCACGCCGTGCGTAGACCCGGGTTACGCGAAATTGAATCCCAAATCGACCCAAATTCATATTTTTCATCCTTTTTCTATAAATAAGGCCCCCCTAATCATATTTTGACGTTGTGAACATTACGGAGAGGCCTAGGGACGAATTTAACACCGTTTTTACGCTAGTTTCTTCCAAGACCCTGAGATTATTTGTAAGTTCATCTTTTTAATTAATGACAATTTATTCTATTCATCCCAATTCTGTTGATTCTTCAATTATGAATTGTGAGTAGTTTAATTAGGGATTTGGGGTTGACGAAGGGGTTAATCATGATTGATGGCTAGATTCTTGTCGGTTTAATTGCATGAATGTCGTT